ACAATGTGTCACTCACTGTTCGGGATTCTCAAATATGTCCACCAAATGCGGCATCTGTGAACGGTGATCCACAAGATGCGAATCACGCAGACAGAGGAAATGATTACTGTCTTCTATAGTTATTATACTATATTAGTATATTCCTGATATAGTTTACTAATATTCAAATCACCGTCATTAATTAACGGGTTCTCTTTGTATGGGGTAAGTCTTATGCACTGCCGCAGAAATATTTTACTTTATCAGTAAATTCTCCAGGTACTAACTTGGTTTGCTAAAGAAAAAAAAAATGAAAACGGGTGCACAAGTTCCAATTTATGGAGTTTAGAGGTTGTAGTATAGACACACATCATGCACCATGCAACCCATGCTCTTATTTACATGTTTTATGGCGTTCTCATTAATTTGCCCTCTCTTTTTTCTTCAATGTCTTCTCATTAATTTTTTTATTTATAGCTTTTTCCAAGTAATGTTTCCGGATTCAGGTGCAATCTTTCAAACGATGTCCCTAAATAAATGATTGACTAGTCAAAACAAAACAAACTAATCGATTGATGCTTTACCATTAAAAAACCCCAATAGTAGCCACTAAATATTGAACACATAAACAATCAGAGAAAAGTGAGATGTCTTGTTATTGTTGAAGAAAGATAGACATTGATCTCTCTCTACCTTTCAGTATCATTGTAAACCGTGAATCTCTAACTTTGGACCCTGTTTCATATGGGTCCTTCATTTTTGAGATTCAGTTCCATTCCAATTAAAACCAAACCAATACATTGACCTACGTCAATGTTCTGTAAGAGATGGAACAATCCTGAAGATCCACTTGACCGTAGGTATGACCACAGAAGCCATGCATAATTGCATTATACGTACGCGGCTTGCAAACACGTGGCGCAATCTGAACACGACAAGGATGGAGTAGAACTTCCATATCCCACGGTTATCCCTGTTCAACCGGCTATATCACCGTGACTATTTCCCAGAACAGTGGACGTCACCGCCAATACGTCATTGAGAAAATTTGCTCTGTCAGTTATGTGAGGTTCGTCAGGTGGATATGTCGCAGAATCGCAAGTCTCTGAAACTACGGCGGTGTTTGGATCAACATTCGCGATATTGCAACATCGTAGGCCCATGATCATCAATAGTATTAGAATCGCAAACTTTCGAGTCAATGAATTCATGATGGAACTAGTAAACTTGAGTTCAAATTGTCACTTAATTTGAATTTTCAGATTTTGTTCATGCATTATCCATTTTTGTCGATTAAATAGCTGTAGCATGAGTTGCTTTATCCGCTGATTTTGTTGTGGAATACTTGAAATATATGTTGGAAATAGACGCTTGTCTGCAACATTCTCCACGAATTAACCTATGATATCTTAATCTCTACATTTTCAATTTCCTTTGATTTTCTGCATCTTTTCAAATGACACGTTGAAGATTCTCCAGCCGTCCCTTCCTAGTATTAGTATTTAACGAACGATTGCAGACAACATTCCAGTTCTCTGTCCTTTAATTTTTAGATTCTTTTTCCTTTGTTTTCTTTGTCGGCATTTTTCCTAAATTTCCTACACATAGCTAGCTAAAATAAAACATGTGATTATGTTAGCATCAAATCAGTTAGGATTATAGAAAACTCTCTTTATTGATTAATTCATACACACTTACAAGATATAAATATATATATATATATATACACACACATAAGACAAATCTTAATCCACAATTACTATGGTAAATACATATTTACTAAAATACAACCCCTCAAACTGACGGCGAAGAAGCAAGGAGCCGAAGTTCGTCTCGAAAATGAAGAAATAAATCCTTGGATAAATGCTTAGTAAGAATGTCAGCAACCTGATCAGAAGCAGACAAGGAGTGAATCGATACAAACTTCCGACGGACATGATCACGGACAAAGTGAAAATCCACCTCAACATGTCTTGTACGCGCATGAAAAAACGGATTGGCAACAAGGAAAACTGCACTATTGTTATCACAACAAACAGAGGGAGAGCAGCTCCTCACAAACATTTGTAATGGCATGAAACTCAACCTCATTGGACAACTGAGCAACACTGGATTGTTTCGGAGAAGTCCATGCAAGTACATTGGGGCCCAAGTAAACCAGAAAGCCAGTAGTGGAGCGACGTTCGTCAGGACAACCAGCCCAATCAGCATCACTAAAGCCAGCAATAGAACCCAAGTTTGTGGGATGAAGAACAAAACCAAGATCAAGGTTGCCACGAAGATATTGAAAGAACCCGTTTAAGGGCATGAAAGTGAGCTATGCGAGGCTAATGCATAAATTGGCAGAGTTTATTGACCGCAAAACATATATCGGGCTGAGTCAGAGTAGTGTACTGAAGGCTACCACAGCGACGGCGGTAAGTGGTAGACTCGCCAAGAGAGAGCAACATGCCATCCAAACGAGACAACATAACACCAGACTGCACAGGAGTGGAATTAGGCTTGCAAGTACTCATGTTAGCTCCGCGAAGCAAATCAGCCAAATACTTGCGCTGAGACAAGATGAGACCCCACGGAGTACAAGTAACCTCAACACCAAAAAAGTAACTGAGAGGAACCCAAGACTGAATAGAAAACCCCTTAGGAATAGAAGAAGTAACATTCTGAACAAAAGCAGAGGAGCTACTAGTAAGAATAATATCATCCACATAAACCAAAAGAAAGCATAAATGAGGTCCGCGCTGATAAAGGGATAAAGACATAAATGCATGCTCAACAAAAAGGCAGCCAATCGAGAGTACCAAGCCCGAGGAGCCTACTTGAGACCATATAAAGACTTATAGAGCTTACAGACTTAATGAGGGCGCAAAGGATCAATGAAACCCTGGGACTGAACCATATATACAGTCTCATATAAGACACCATTAAGGAAGGCATTGCTAGCATCAATCTGCCAAACCAACCATCCACGAGATAAAGCAACAGTAAGAAAAGTAGGAATAGTGACTGAGTTAATAACTGGACTAAAGGTATCACTATAGTTAACACCAATAGACTGCGTGAAACCCCGAGCTACCAACTGCACCTTATAGAGTTCAATAGAATCATCAGCACGGGTCTTAATCTTTTAAAGCCATCGATTCACAAAAAATTACCAGATGAAGGAGAAGGAACAAGACTCCAAGTATGATTGTTTTGAAGAGCAGATCTCATCCTCCATAGCAAGTTGCCACTGAGGAAGAGATTGGCTTGAGTGAAGGAGGTATGGGTGAGGGGAAGAGTAGGCAAGGAAGGTGATGTCTGAGTAAGATGATAAAAAATAGTCTTATTAAGGGTGGTAGGACAAAGTTGCATTTGGTGCTGACAAAGAGGAGCAGATCAGACGCAGGAGGGTCTTGAGTTAAATCAACAACAAACTTAAGACCAGAAGAGGAATTGGAAATTGGAGAACAGGAAGCCATAGGTGATGAAGGACTTGTAGGAGGTGACGAAGACAGGGGAGTGGGGTGAGGTGTCAGAAGGTGGAGAAGGTGAAACAGAAGGAGAACAACGGGGTTCGATGTTGAAACCAACCTGGGAGGACTAGTGACTTGTAAACCAGGGGTAGGAGAAGATGGTGGCGGAGGTGGAGTGGAAGTAACAAGAGGACCTTTAAAAGGAAAAATTTGCTCATCAAATTAGACACGACGAGCAACATAAAGACGATTAGTGGTGGGGTCCAAACAATGATAACCAAGGTGAGGAGGGGAATAGCCAAGGAAGACACACTGTCTAGAACCGAAAGAGAATTTATGACGATTATATGGGAAAAGTAAGGGATGGACCGCACAGCCAAAAATACGAAGAAAGGTGTAGTCCGGGGGTTGATGATAAAGGATAGTGTAAGAGATTTGACCATGAAGAGGTTTACCAAGATGTCGATTGATTAAGAACACGGCATTTTTGAAACTAAAATTCCAAAACCGAAATGGAGTACCAGAGTGGCTAAGAAGAGAAGGCCAATATCAACAATGTGACGAATTTTTCTCTCAGCAGTGGTATTTTGCTCATGAGTATGAGGACAAGCAATTCGATGGATAAAGCAAACATCTTTGAAAAATGAATTCAAGGGACGGAATTAACCACCCCAATAAGAATTGACACTTCCAATGGTGGTGTCAAACTGTTTTTCAACTAAAGTTTTAAATTGCTTGACGATATGAGGTACATCATTTTTATTTTTGATAGGATAGAGCCATGTAAATAACGAGAAATCATCAATAAAAAACACAAAATTAGCGATAGCCATTAAAAGACAAGAGAGGGCCAGGTCCCCAAACATTAGTATGAATTAAATCAAGAAGTTTAGCACTACGATGAAATGTAGAAGACAGAATGACTCGATGCAACTTCACTAAGCAACACGCCTCACATTTAACAGTGGACGTGGACAAAAAAGAATGGGGAAGCTGAAACTGCCTAAGTAAGGTACGAAGAGTAACATTATTAGGGTGCCCTAAACAAGCATGCCATTGATCTAGAGAACTAAGATTAGCGGCTGGATATAAGGAACCACAAGCATGTAGGTCCAAGCGGTAGAGACCATTGTTAGGCCGGCCTCGGTGGAGCAGTTCCTTGGTTCAGAGATTGTTCACACAACAGGAATCATAATAGAATTCAGAATAGAACAGAATAAAATCAAATAGCAACCTCTAATTCTCTTCAATAGGATTAATTGTACGGTTTTATCAACTTTAATTAAACAAAAATCTAATTGCAAAAGCTTTGTTGAAGAATGCTAATGAATATACCTCCTTTGTCCTAGAGCAATTTATCGTCTACGTTGAGTTTTATATTTTTATTGAAAATAGTACAAATCTCTAAACCTAATGCGGACTATTTTCTGGGGACAAAAGGAGTAATACGGCAAAAACTTGAATAAAGCCAAGCCAATATACATTATACATCTTGATGCCATTTATTGTTTCAATCAAGGAATTTCTGGCCATCCCCCCTTCGTCATCATCTCGCCTAGCTTTAATTCATGGTGTGTTTTCAATTGGAGCGTCAGTCCGATAGGCAATGGAACAGTCTTGAAGGATTATCTCGGCGAAGGTTCCATCAGGGCAATCTTGAATTTCATTAAATGCAGCAATCATGCACGTTGAGCAATCGGAAGCAGAAAGAGACCAAGTACAACTTCCGTAGCCAAAAGCTGGAGACGGATAACCAAATACATCGAAGTAATTATATTCTGGTTTAGAATTAGGTGTCTGCATCATCACATCATTGAGTACAAAAACTATACTGTTAAGATGAGGATCGTCTCCGGGATACTTCGCGCTACTGCATAAATCGCTTATAACGCCAGTGTTTGGAGATCCCCTCACAACACTGCACCATAACCCAATGATTAACATTAGGGCCCCGATCGCAAATTTTGGAGCTAAGGAAGTCATGATGATGAATTAAAACACTTTAATTAGTTTGCTTCCAATCTTTTAGAATTTATTTTGGCTTTGAAACATGCAGGAATGAGCCATCTCGTATTGCTTATATTGAGGGTAGGGCGAGTTGGGTAATCCGCAGATTTTTTGCTGTCTTAGATTAGGTAGTTGGACATATATGTGTGTTTACATGCGGGGTAAAACAGGATTTTATCAAATTATGCTCTTTAGGTGTGTTTCAAAAACAAACGGAACATTTTGAGAGATTTGCATGGACTTGGTGTTGGTGAGTGGCACCTACTAAATAGACATAACACTAATTATGTTTCAGTTTCGAGTATTCCGAGACTCAGGCTCTTTTTGATAATCACTTAATAAAAAAATGACTTAATTTATTTAAATAATTAATAAAATTAAGTGTGTTTTATAATCGCTACTAAAAAGTCTTAATGAATTAAGCTATGAACTAATTACGTACTTATAAATTAAGTGCGTTTGATAACTAAAATTTCACTGTTTGAATTAATTAAGTGCGTCTGAATGGCCAGTTCAATTGTGAGTCAGAAAATAAGTGATAAGCCTATCACTTATCACTTAATTTATGGGATGACTCTTTTTTTTTCTTTATTCTTTTTTTCCTTTTTTTTCCCTCGTCTTTATTTTGTCGCTTATTTTTACATTGTTTTTAAAATTTTTATTTTCTTAAGATAAATTAATTAAGTTGAATTTATATTATGTGTATAAAAGATCTCCAACTTTCAAACTCAAATTAAACTAATTTTAATGCATAAAATTTGCTAAATAACAAAGTATACACATATATGTAATAATCTAAATTTAATTATATATTGATTATTTACCAAATGTAACATCTACTTTCATTATATATACAAAAAATTATTTTAGAATTATTATTTTATTATTTCAAAAAAATATTATTTATTTTTCTAATTTAAAAAAATTTTGTTTATAATTTAATTTTAATGATATTAAAATTTTAAATAACTTTCAGACATGAGTATTCAGATTCAGTCTCCGGACTTCAGAATTCAGTCTTCAGACGTCATATTCAGACGTTTTTATCAAACAATATAAATTCATTTCAGATTTCAGACTTCAGTGTTAAGTGTTAAGTGTTCAGATTCAGATTTCAGTGATTATCAAACAGACCCTTAGTACTGAAATCTTATGATTTGGAAATTAAGAGTTACCACAACACTAGTAAATATCTCTAATATTTGTTTTTGTTTGTCGCATTAAGGTGAATACCACACTTTCTTTCACATTTTATTTCAAATGCAATATTAGATAAACTTTTTTTTCAATTTCACCGCATATCACCCGGTTTTATTAGTAAAATCAATAAAGTACAATTGTTAGTGTCCAGCACTAGTCCACTATTGAAGAAGGAAGTGTCTAAAAAATATATCTATCAAATCTAGATATCTCCTCTATACAACTCTAATCGCATTAAGTATGATTTAGCTACAAAAGAGATGAAAAAAAAAAAAGATTTTCTTGCGCCTTTCTCGTTGGTCAAGTGCCACCAGTCCCATTGCTCGACCAACGGGGTAGCTAGGAATAATATAAATTATCGCTCAACGGCATAGCTCCGAATAATTTCATCCTTCTCTCTCTAGTTTTAATAATACAAATTGATGAAAATTACTTCTTTTTTATTTCAATTTAAATTTTTGTATAGTCCCAATATATTAATCAGGGGAGAAAAGTATTGTACTTACAAGTTAAATCTCAGTCATTATTTCTTTAATACATTTGCACACCGTAATACGACACATAAAAAAATCAAGGTATTAAATTAACGTTAGACCTATAAACTATGGCCAATTTTGTTTAGGTACAATAGTAGAAACAAATGCTAAAATACATTACATTTTCTTAACAAATAAAGTTGGAAATAATTACTTAAAATATTGTTGTGTTCAAGTAATAACTTAATCCTTGAGTTTCAAATAGGACGGAGAATCTATATATATATATATATCTATATATATATATATATATATATATATATTAAAGTAGAGTTCTTAATCGACACGTGTCACCCGGAGAGCAAGTTTAGACAATTGCGCCATATGTCGTCACTAAATTCTCCATCATTAAACATTTAGAAGTTTATTACTAATACGTAAAATTATTAAATTGAATTAAGTAATTAACTAATAGTTAATTTTGGAAAATAAACACGTCTTTGGTAATTATTGACAAATATATGACATAATGAAATATTAATCATCAAATTAATAGTTTTATTAAGAATACCATTTGAAGCTAAGTTTGGATACATTAAACGCAAGTTAATTTTATTTTTCAGATTATTATGTTTGATATATTTTCCAAAACTTAATAGATATTAGTTACCAAAAAACAATGTTACCAAAAAACTATATAACGAATACAATTCGAAACCACGTCTACCTACATTACAAGTATGTTAATATTATTTCTTAGATTATTGGTATATTTTCCATAAATAAAAAAAGACTACTTACCGAAACGGAGAGATTATTTACCAAATAATTATGCGAGTATAATTCAAAACTAAGTCTGGATGCATTAAACATAAGTTGATAATATTTTTCTGATGATTCTATTTGATATATTTTTCAAAAATAAAAATAGATTAGTTACCAATAACAAAAAATATATTTGTTAACAAATAATTATACTGCAAATACAATAAGAAACTAAGTCTAGATAAATTAAACGTATATTCATATTATTTTTCACATTATTTCATTTTATATATTTTCAAAAATAAAAAGAGATTAGTTACTAGATAATCATACTACAAATACAATTCGAAACCAAGTCTGTATACATGCAAGATAAGTTAATATTATTTTATAGATAATTTTATTTAATATATTTTTAAAAAAATAAAAAGTGATTATTTTTAAAAAAATAAAAAGAGATGGGTTACAAATAATTATATTTTGAATACAATTTGAAAATCAATTATGGATTCATTAAATGTAGATTAATATTATTTCTCAAAACATTTTATTTGATATATTTCTAAAAATAAAAAGAGATTAATTACAAAAATAAAGAGATTAGTTACCGAATGATTATATTACGAATATAATTCAAAACGAAGTCTAAATACATTAAATTTATATTAGTATTATTTTAAATGATTATATTTGATATATGTTTCGAAAATAATAAAAAAAGCTATAAAAAATACAAAGATTAGTTGTCAAATCATTATATTACGAATATAATTTGAAATCGAGTTTAGATACACAATACATTTCTAATATTATTTTTTAAATAATTTCATTTGATATATTTTTCAAAAATAAAAAGAGTTTAATTACAAAAACTAAAAAGAGATTAGTTAGCAAATGATTATACTACGTACGTATATAATTGGAACCATGTCTATATCCATTAAACTTGGACCAAGTAAAAAGAGATTAGTTATAATATATTACGTTATGAATACAATTAGAAACCAAATCTAGATACATTAAACGTAGGTTAATATTATTTCTCAAATGATTTCATGTGATATATTTTTCAAAAATTAAAAAAAAGGATTAGTTTATCAAAAATAAAAGAGATTTAGTTATCAAATTATTATATTACAAATACAACTCGAAACTAAGTCCAGACACATTAAATATTGGTATGTATTATTTTTTTAAGATGATTCCATTTATTTATTTTTCATAAACAAAAAGAATTGGGTTATCAAAAATAAAAAGAGACATGTACCAAATAATTTTTCTTACAACACAATTTATAATTAGATCTGAATACGTTAAACGTAGGTTAATACTAATTTTCATATAATTCCATTTTATATGTTTTTCAGATATAAAAATTATTAGTCACTAAAAAAAATAAAGAGTTTATGTTCTGGATTCTCTCCTCTTCTTCCCTTCCCCTTCATCTTCTATCTCTTCTCCCTCCTTCTCCCCTTCGATCTGAATCTGTTTTTTGTCTGAAAGATATACAGTGACATCTCTTTTTTTGTTGAGTTGTAATTCTTGATGGATATTTTTCATTTGTTGGTCCAAAAGGGAGTATGATAGGTTTCAATTGACATGGTAAGTTATACTTTAATATTATTAACACAGTGTTTATAGTGATTGTTAGAATTTCACTTGATTTCTTAATTTTGCTTGTGTTGAAGAAGATTCGTTAGCTTATTCTAGTGTGGATACTTATGGACGACCTTCCATCTGATTTATAATTACTAATGGATTATGTGGTCGTTAATTGCAAAAGGTTCATCAATATGATTTTTTCCCTTTGTTTTGAACTATTAACTAGTCATTTTATCTTGTATTTTAAACTTTGAATTATCAGAAAAATTTTAGTACTAGTGACATAACTTTTATTTTCTGAAGGGGAGGCATCATTTTTAGAACATGCATTATATTTTCCATGTTAAGGATTATTTCTGTTGTATGTCGCTGACAAATATTTTATGAGATTGACAGTTTTATTTTTAAAGAATCACGAGGGTCTCATTTTGGTATATTTTGCACCACTGCTATTATAAAATTTCAATGGGTTTAGCTAAATAATAGTTATGCATGAATCTCGGTCTAAAGGAGCCAGATAGACTAAAAAGAAATTGCTCATGCTCTAGACTCTGAAGGTAAATATATACATTATTTGAGATATTAATAGTTAAATATATTTACGTTAAGTGCATGATTATCTATGTGTTTTAATTGTACAGGAGAAGTGTGGCACCGTGATGAGAAAAAAATAAGTACCTCGAAAAATACTCATAACTAAAGAAAAAGTTATGAGTCCAAATAAATAAAATGGGTCCTGTACCCATCAGACACAGCATGTTTTGTTATTAAAAAAAAAAACAAAGCAAAAAGTTTGATGAGTATAGATAAGTATTTTAAAATTATTTATTAGTTTTTTTTTGTCATTGTTTTTTCCCCCTGTTTTTTGTGCTTTATTTATTTTTGTTGGAATTTTTTTTATTTATTTTACTTTATGCCTAAAAAACATTATTTATAATATTTGATTCAATTACTGCAAGTAAACAATATATGTTTTTCAGTCAATATATTTTCAGAATATAAATGATTTAATTTCTATTGTTGAAAATAACTTTTATATACTTATATCCCTATAAAAGTAGGATAGTTCACCATTGATCATATTAATTGGTATTTATAATTTTTTTTGATATACTAACACTCCTAAACAAGAAGTATATTAGATAGTTAAAGATATTAATTTGTATTTCAAAATACCCTATGTGGCTAAGAAGTACTTCATCAAAGTGGTAACAGTATTGGACCAAGTTAAGTATAATCCATGATTAAATATGTGCTTGGGCATGTAGTAATGGTTGTTGGAAGAGGTTTGTCTTCCAAAAGTGACCTATCCGATTCGAAGACGAATTAGTTAGAACAATGATTTCGAACAGCGGATGCACTATATACCAAGATAGAAAAAAAAAACATATGACACTCTTGAATTTGGACTCCGAATGCCTAATATACTAAAAAACGAAAAAACTAAAACATATGACACTTTTCATAGGAAAATAATGATATATTAATGTTAATCTAAAATATAGTAAAATCCGCACAACATGGGGGCATAATACTAATATATTTCAAAAATGAAAACAAGCGTGAATTATATTTAACCTGCATTTATGTCTGCATATGATTTGATTAACTAATATGCATTTTGTACCTGGACTCTTATCAAAAAATGACCAAAATATGCTCCCAAGGTGGTGGTGTAGGCAAAACTATGGCTAGGTTTTCGGAGGAAGAAAGAAATATGTTTTTCGCAATTGGCAAATGCGAAAAAACCAACTTCGCATATGTCATGTGCGAAAATTAACTTTTCGCATATGCCATATGCGAATGTTTTAATTTTTTATTTAAAAATTGTTTCCTAACTTTAAATTGGTGTAAAATGAAATGTTGTAAATTAAATATTTTGGTTGATAAAATGTTGTAATATTTCAAAAAAAAAATGCTATTTTAATTGAAAATTCAATTTTCTAAATTTAAAGTTTTCATCTGATTTAAGTAAATTTATGTTAGTTCTAAATAGAATTACAATGCTATAAATTATAGTTGGTGAACAGAAATCGTATAATGCATTTATAATAAAATTTGAATAATAAGTAAATTAAAATTTCGGTGAAAAATTAGAATATAATCTTGCCTTTTGTAACCAAGTTTGCTTTTAAAAAAATTGACTTTTATTTGGTTCAATTTTAAAAACTTACCATCATTAAAAATAAAATGTCAGAAAATCAAGTTTAGTAAATTTTGGATAATAATTTTTTTATATAATAAAACTTAGAATCAATTCGTTTAAAGTAAGGGAAAAAACTAAAATTTTTAGAATCTGACATAATATAAAGGAAAATGGAAAAAATATAATGTGGTCAATGGCCTCAGATCACATTCGCACAGTACTACAATGAACCCTGAACAAGAAAGTGCTTCAATAAAACGCTCTTAAGAGGTTGCTTCCAAGAAGGCTCTTCCAGGTTGACGGTTAGCCAATGGTGCATGGCAGCCAAGAAACTTGGCATTGACACCATAAGGAACAATTATGTTTTCTTGCTTCCATCTAACATAATTAGTCCTGCTAAACTTGGTAAAACCACACTTCCTTCTAACAATGATCTTTTGGTGACCTGGAAACTTGAATTTAGCACGACGCAAAAGATAGTATTGTATAAAGTTAAAAAAATTGTACATAATATGGTCTTTTTGATAAATTTTTTTCTTTAATGTTTGCCTTTTATTTTTGTTAAACTTAAAACTATTGTATCATTTTAAAAATTCAAAAGCTCGAGTTTACTAAAGATTAAATAAAACCGAAATAAATTGTTAATTAAAAGAAATGAAAGGCATTGTTTAAAACTAATAACAAAACTCATAAAATAGCATAAAATAAAAGTACAATTCAATCTAATTTTTCTACATCTTGCGCTTTTTCTTCCGAGAATCTGTCATGCAGCACTTTTTCTTGTTCTTTATGTTCCGCTGTCCCTTACCCAAAGCAAGCGGTGTAATAGGCATGGTACCATCACTGGGGCCCTGTCTCGGGCACTGGCTCGAGCCCTCACCCTGATCAGCGCCCTCATCATGATCATGAGAGGAATGCTCAGCATCATCAGAATCATTGGTGCTCTCATCATCATGCTCCTGATCCCGATTATCCTCATGATCCTGATCATCCTCCGGATCATTATGGATATGGTCACCGCTTAGATGCTGACTGTGATGACCACCCTCGTAACTAGTCTCAAGGAAACCCCCCGCATTAGGATCTAGATTAATAAAATCTGAATCAAAATGCATTTTCTCAAAAGGAGGAGAGGGATGGTGGTGTGGCGATGCTGGACGGTAAGGAGATACATGCGGGGTAGAAGATGACCCGCCAGTATCCTGGGTGGCCACAGGTTTTCTCATCCTCGCACTCCCTAACTGGAACCCACCTCGGTCAGTCCTGGGAGGCCTAGGTGGGATATATTTCTGGGTGGGGTCAGCCGGATCAAAATCTTGACTTGGGTTCTCACTATCAGCCCAAACAGATGTCTTGCTGACAGTCATTACCTGCTGTGTCAAATCGTGCAGCTGAAGGAAGGTATTGTGATTCCAAGAATTAGCTGGATTACGTTGTAGCCCATCTAGAGTAATCTGCCGCATGTTCTGCACTAAATTGGCCTGGAAATTATGAGAGGAAACAAATATATGGTAAATTAAAAATATATAATAAATATATTTTATAAATTAACATATATATGGTAAATTAAAAATATATAATAACATTTTAGAAAGTTATATGTATTAAAATCATATTAATATGGGTGTGAGTGATTAAAGAAATAGTAAAAATGTAACTTACCATTATATGTATTGACTTAGCAGATTCCTGAAAACCCTGGGGCTGACAATAGTCTGATGGATTGGTAACCAAAGTGACAGTGCGATTTTGATATCACACTAGGTATTCCGGTGCTGCTTGGGGTTCAAGAGTCATATCGGCCTGAAGACCGGCAAGGGTGTTGTCTCGAGTATCCCACCTCTGTAAGACGTCATCTTGACATTTCTTACCACGCGTCTCCTTATGCAACTTTTCTATTTCTTTTTTCTCCATGATGAAAGTGTTGTCAGGCACCACTGCAAGAAGCCCAACTGGCGCAACACCCTACCTGGGATGTGTGGCTCTCGGATACCAAAATAAAGCAGCCAAGTCTGGGGCATCCATATGGCGGAGCCAGTACAGCAAGATGGATTAATGTCTGCTAGGGTACAGGAGAATACGGCATCCAAACGAACTGGAGAGGGACAGATATATACAAATAATTTATGTGAATATATACGAAAATTGAAAAAATTGATTTATACGTTATGATGGTTCAAATAAAAAATACTTACATTATGTTCTTGCAAAACCGCAAGCTGGTCTCGGTAGGCGGTCAGATTAAATCGTGTGATGTCTCCCACTTTTCTAGGACGGTTCCACCTATAAAGAAAATAGTTTTGATTGAAAACAAGGAAAAAATTGTCAAAAAATATAACCAATTAAGATAATTATTGAATAGTTGAAAAAAAATTATCTCCTGCCCAAGGGACACCCCTGAAGATCTGGTACGGGCCCACGTAACTCCGGACGGAAAGTCAAAATCCGCTCCCAAGCCCATAACTAATTTGCAATAAAATAATACGTGAAATTAAAAATACGAATACAATAAATAAAAACTAACAATAAAATACAAATACCATAAATAGGAATCTAACAAAAGATTACAAATAAGGAAAAAAAAATACAACAAAAAAATACAAATACAATAAATAAAAAATTAACAATAAAATACAAATACCATAAATAGGAACCTAACAAAAAATTACAAATAAGGAAAAATAAAAATAAAACAAAAAAATACAAATACAATAAATAAAAAACTAACAATAAAATACAAATAGCATAAATAGGAATCTAACAAAAAATTACAAAGACAAGGGCGGTTTGAAATTACCTGTAAGAGTAGTAAGCAGCCACAAATACCCTGTCCGGACTATGTGATCAATGAGGAAGTGCATAGATTCTGTACAACCACGCCAGTGTGGCACTACCCCAACTAAACTGCCAAAAGGTATTTGGGTCCTCCAAATACCCCACAAGACCCAGGGGAAAACTGTTTCTGGTGCTGTCAGGAAACAATAACCCTCCTAAAATCCATCTGACAAAACAACGTACCAGCTGAAGGTGCATGTCCTCTGTAGCATCTCCGGATAGCAGATTGGTCATAATGTGTCTCTTTATATCTGTGATGTTTACTACCCTATCCTTCGTGGCCTTAGCACGCTGTCGGAAACCAAACAGACTCTCTAAATAATCGGTCCACTGCACATCTTGAGGAGGTACAGTCCCCTGAACCACTGCATGACCATCCACCCGCAGACCCAGAAGGACCTCGACATCCTATAGAGTAATCGTCGCCTCTCCAACAGGCAAGTGAAATGAATGGGTCTCAGGCGGCCATCGCTCAACTAAGGCTGTAATGAGGGTCCAATCTAACTTAATAGAACCAATTCGAAAAAACGGCCCTAGACCAAACTTCGCTATTTGGGCAGGTGTCTGTGAGGCAGCCTTGTCTAGTTCGGGCCATAGGTCAGTATCCACTCGGTAGGCGAAAAGTTCTTTCAAATAAGCCTTATTACCCCTAAACATATGGAATGACCTATGATCATCATGAAGGACTAATAAACTCTTGTCTATAGGACCCTGCTGGAGGTCATATTGTCTAGACTACAATGATGATGATGATCCCGTCTCCATACCCCTAATTGAAAAATACTATGGGTTTATTAGTCAAATACAATAAATAAAACATCTAACAATAAAATACAAATACAATTAAAAAAAATAAAACAAAAAAATACAAATACAATAAATAAAAGTAAAACAAAAAAAAAATACAAATACAACGAATAAAAAATAAACAAAAAAATACAAATACAATAAATAAAACTAAAACAAAACAAATAAAAATACAATAAATAAAAAATAAACAAAAAAAATACAAATACAACAAATAAAAATAAAACAAAAAAATAAAAATACAAAAAAAAACTAAAACAAAAAAATACAAATACAATAAATAAAAAATAAACAAAAAAAATACAAATACAATAAATAAAAATCTAACCCAAAAATAGAAATACAATAAATAAAACATCTAACAATAAAATACAAACACAATACATAAAAATTAAACAAAAAAATACAAATACAATAAATAAAAAAATACAAATAAAGCTCCGGCCGAGAAATGTGTCCGCCGGCGACCATAGGACCGGCCGGTGACAACAACAACAATAGCAAAAATTGAATGAGGACCAAGCAACAACAACTCAACAGTAATAACATAAATAATGCTTGTTCACCGGCGACAACCAAAGAACACAGGCCGCCGGCGACAACAAAAATCAAAATCGTAAAACCAAAAAAAAAACAGATCGAACACTGGACGAACAACATCGTCCACCTAGATCTAAATTCGCCGGCCGGAGACGCGAAGAAATTAATGGCCTAAATAAATTAGATAAAAATCGAAATAAAACGACATAAAAAATAGAATAAACAAATCATTATGAACTACAAAACACTTACCCACCTTTTGTGGAGGAGGAGGCGGCGGCAACAATGGCTAAAAAATGGGGAGAAAGCCGGGGAGGGAGGAGGCGCCGGCTTCAATGGCGAAAACCGGGGTGAAACCGACGGGAGGGAGGTTTTGGAAGTTTTAGATCTGAAGCTGTTCGCATTCGCCATATGCGAACTTTAGGAAACCTAGATGACGCCACGTGGCGCGCTCTGGCCAGTTTCAGTTTTTCGCATTTCCCTTATGCGAACATATTTTACTCCACTATACGGGACTCCTGGTCCTGGACTCCAATACAAATGTTAGGAACACCCAGATGACGCCACGTGGCGCGCCCTGGCCAGTTTCAGATTTTTCGCATTTCCCTTATGCGAACATATTTTACTCCACTATACGGGAGTCCAGGACCTGGACTCCAATACAAATGTTAGGAACACCCAGATGACGCCACGTGGCGCGACCAGGCTAGTTTCAGTTTTTTCACATTCCAATTATGCGAAATATTGATGATCACATCGCCTGTTTGCTTTTGCCACGTGGCGCGTTGAACGGGAGGCATGACTTGGTTCGCATTTCATACATGCGAACATATTTTAACTATACGACAGTCCAGTTCCTGGACTCCAATACAAATTTTACTAATATTCTTTGAGGGTAGTCCTGTAGTCCTGGACAATACAGAAAATTATGACTAGTACAAATTTAATATTTTTTAAACTATTACACAAATACAAACATAGACTTGAAGATTGTTCCAATTAGTACACAAACCAAAACCCAAATACAAATTCAAAATTCTTAGAATTATTACACGAATACAAACTTAGAATTAATCAAACCATTACACAAACACAAACACTAACAGAACCACTACTTGAAGATTTTTCAGATTATTCCGCAAACACAAACTTTGAATTCCTACTCAGAATTTTGAAGATTGATCATCAGAATCATCAGTCTGCATACGGGGTACACCATGTATTCCATATCGATCGTAAGCATGATTCAAAGGAGTCCTGTCTGAAGATGGATGTGAGAATGCGCAGTTGAAGGTATCATGATCAAATCCTCCACATCGCGGGCAAACTTTCTCAACTGCGCATGCACTGGCATTATGGCCTTCTTGATGACATCGACCGCAAACTTGAACTCTCTTGTTACCAAATTTTTTCGTATAATCCATAAGTCCTTTCTTTCGATTCACACACGTCCGACCTGGGCCAGCATGGTGGACGAGTAATGTATCATCAGGCCTCAGCTGCCACGTCACCTGTGGCCATGGTTGAAGGACCGGGTTGAATTCTCTAGAAAACTGAATAGCCCATTGTTCCCTACTATAAAATGAATCAAAAAGGGGTAATGGATCATGACGTAGAAACCTGGCAACAGCAAGCGCATGGGAGCAAGGAAACCTGTATGCCTGCCACTTGTAACATGTGCACATCCTGGCGGCGTAGCTTACCTCATGGATATTTCCACCCTTCCATGGCCGATCAGGTAGTGAGTACGTGATCATTTGGTACTTCTGATTCCTCTTGCGGAATCTGGTAACCTTGTGACCCATCTGATGTATACGGTATTCGTCATACCGTTTCATGGGATTCGTCACGAGGGGTGAATGGCATTTGTTAATTTCATCTATGTTTTCCTGAAACAACTTGTTAGTCTTATACAATATGGCAAGAATCAAAGTAGTGATAGGGAGCATCAGGCAACCTTTTAAGACATTATTAAAACTCTCGGATATGTTCGAAGTCATTTCTCCCCAACGATATCCCCCGTCCCAATAACGGGTACAGTTCCCAAGACCAATTTGCTGAAGATATATGGCTGCATCTCGATTTTTTATTTCTAAATTCATCCATTCTTTTTCAAACTTGCCTTTTTGCAACATTGAACATGCCCTTTGACAAGGTCTTTTGAGTTACTGCCCAGGAAAATTGCCAGCTAAATTTACTTTGATGTGCTGCAGACAATAACGGTGCACTCCCATCCCTGGAAATTTATCAAGAATAACATCCATAGCAGCAAGAATACCCATATGGCGATCAGAGATCATGCAGGTCTCCTTGTCAAGTAGAACAAATTTTTTCAGGTATTTGAGGAACCATTTCCAGCTATGCAATGTCTTTTCATCCACGAGGGCAAACGCGATGGGAACAATTGTGTTATTCGAGCACTTCACACATGCCACGATCAATTTTGCTTTGTATGAACCTCGGAGGTGGGTGGCGTCGACGGTTATGACCGGCCAAGCAGCTCTAAATAAATGTATAGCTGGCCCAAATGCCCAAAAAATGTACATGCATACCTTCTTCCGATTCTTGGTATCTTTAGTGAACTTAATCTGCATACGGGTATCTGGGTTTGCTCTGAGCAATGCTTCCTGAAAATTGGACAGTTGTTGTAAGTTGCTTTCCCATGTGCCATACAGACTGTCAAGTGCTTTTCTTCGACCATGCCATTCCTTTTTGCAATAAGGGGTGACCCTATATCTCTTATTTACTTCGACTTGGATCTGCGCGATTGAATAACCTGGATCTTTTCGGACATTGGCTGTGATCAATCGAGCAATCATTGTGGACGTCAAGTTTCGAGCTTCGTTTCTTGTGGTTGCACCAAGACAGTTGTGGCTCTCGATCCATACCACCATTCTCCAAGTATTCGTGTCTTTTTGCGAGGTAGCTCGACATTTCCACAAGCAAGTAGTGCCGTGGAGAAGTTCTTCTGGGTACTTCGGCCCTTTAGTCTCGCATTCAGTGGCCCACGTATAGGGACGGCTATATTTTACCCGACATGCCCGACCCTGTCGCAATGACCATTCCCCCACAGCTGTTCGTACCTCTTTCTTGTTAGCAAAATGTACACCATGTCTAACCGTCTGCCAATTACCGTCCCACATTGTGATCCCATCAGAATCCTCATGCAGTTCAGACTTGTCCATGTTATTGATGTCGTCAAAAATAGACGGTACTACTGAAGATGCGTCATGGTCACTGTAATCATCATCAGACTCATCGGACGGCACATACTCCTCGTCACTGCTTCCCTATACGTCATCTTCTGTGTCATTGCCATCTTAATCTGTACCACCAACACCACTAGCCCCTACACCATCATACTGACCACTACTAGTTCCTTCCCCAACATCTTGAACAGGTTCATTTGCAACCTCTACGTACAATGTTGGACGCGAATGGGCACCTCGGTAAATCCATGACATTGACTCATCGTCTCTTATGGGCGCTTTCCCCCTTCTGCCGTACCCATCTGTGCAGACGAAGTATTTTTGGGTTCTCAGATTCCAAAAGCCTGTGTACATAATTATCAAGTTCAGAGAAACTCCACACTCGATCGATACGAACTGTTGCATCGGGCAAAAATAACTTATCCCCATCTCCCTAACAAGATCGATCACTAGACCAGAATATAGTCAGATCGAAGAGACCCGGAAAAGACATATTCAGGGTTTTATTCAATTAAACATACAAATACATCAATTCATGTTTGTTATAACAGTATTCTACCTCACTAGCAGTAATTTATTCCAAATAACGATACAATAAGTCCTATCTTTAGTGAAAATCTCTAACATAATTTAATAATTCAATATAATTCAACATCTATATAACAAAGTTTTCAATTAAAATAAGAACAAATTTTGATCAAACAAATAAATTTAGATTTACACAATGTATTTGATCAATTAAAACTAAATTTATTCAACAATACATGAATTTAGCACGCAACATTAATGACAAAATCTAAAATTAACTGAATATAAAAAAATATAAAATAGGGTCAAAAATATAAAAAATAAAAAATATTTATTTAAGCAAATTTTCTAAAACCAATTCTCAATAACTATCTAAATTATTAAATTTAGTAATTTCGTACACCAAAACACCATTAATAGCCCCAAATAATAATAGAATGTATAAATTTTACAAACTTGATAGAGAAAAAAAACTTACCTAAATGGGTTGCCTCTGTCCTGCTCCCGTTCAGCCCAACCATCCAACCTTCAATCTGAAGAATGCCTCTTTCCTGCTCCGCCTCTTCTACCCGAATGAAAATTTCAACTGAATGCAAGAAGAAAACAATTGATGGTTTTTAGTTCTGCCGTATCTGGAGTGGTGATGAGTTAAAATTATGACTAGACATCACATTCGCATTTGCTAAATGCGAACATCTATCTAAATTGTCAGCAATTGCCACGTGTCGATAAGATATTCGACCAATCAGATTTTAATAGAATAAAAAGATAATTTCATATTTTTTATACGCTAAAATTTGTTGTTCGCATTCGTAGAATGTGAAAAGCTTATGATGGCTCACACCTTTTCCTTTCCTTCCGTGTCTGCTTTAATAATTCATGTATTAATTCATTCGCATTTGTCGAATGCGAAATTTGTGTGATGGCTCACACTTTTCTCTTCCTTCCGTGTCTGCTTTAATAATTCATATATTAATTCATTCGCATTTGTCGAATGCGAAATTTTTGTGATGGCCCACACTTTTTCTATTTTGTTCCGTGTTTGCTTTAATAATTATTATATTAATTTATTCGCATTTATCAAATGCGAAAACTTGACCGAATAAAATATTTTTTTTATCTCTTTTGTTCATATTGTTTGCTTAAGTTGAACTAATTACTTACGTAAATGTCTTTGCATATAGGAAATGCGAAAATCAATTTGTTCGCATACCACAAATGCGAGAAACATGTAAATTTCTACCTCTCCAACCCTAAGAACAACTTTTTCTGCCAACTGAAGTTTGGGGTATATTAATCTCACGGACCCCTAATCTAATTAACCAACAACAGTTCCATTGACGCACCAAAGCAAAACAAAAATTTTATTATTATAATCCCATGAACAAAACTGAAAAATAACAGAAACAAGAACGATAAAAGAACCAATCACATAAGTTACTCCGTCTCTATCCCATTCAAGTACTCATAAAATGGGAAGGACGGAGCATAAAACAAAGATCATGAAAGCTGACACATAGACAGCTTGACCTAGTTGTACACCATGAATCTCTTTTAACTTCAGTTGAGCCCTTTATTTTTTCAAATGCATTCATCCCCACTTCTCTGACAACGCGAAACATCCAGACACATTAGCTAGTTTTTATTTTTGTAATAAAAGATGATCATGTCTTGTATCCAATGACACAATCTTTGAGGGTCATTTCACCGAAGCCATGTCCAGCACATCGAAACTGAATTTCGTTATACGCGGCGGTCATGCAAGCGGCGCAATCTTGTTGCGACAAGGTCATCTCGCAACTTCCATGCCCAAAAGCAATACCAGAAGGAGATGGATCAGTTGAATCGAAGTACATATATCCTAATGTAGTAGGTGTCATCGTCATTACATCATTGAGAACATAAGCTATGGTACTTTGGTGAGGATCGTCCGGTGGATATTTCAGAAAACTGCAATCTTGTGTAACTATTCCAGTGTTTGGATCGCCGCTGACAAGACTGGTACATAGGCCCGTGATCATTATTGTTGCGATCACGAAATTTAGGGTGAATGAAGAAGTACTCATGATGATGATGATTTAGATCATAATTTGGCTTCTGATTGTAGACTTACCCGTTTTTTGGGGGTTTGATTATGGTCTATGGATGAGCATCTCGTAGCTTAAATCTGGGTTGGATGAATTGGTTAATCCGCTGAAATTGCCATCTTAGTCAATTGGAAATTTGTACGAGAAATAGATGCTGCCTGCAAAATTCTTGGTGTGAAGTTAACTATGATGATTTACCCAAAGCGAGACATCACAAATTTTTGAGTTTATGTTTTTTTTTTTTTTTTTTAAATGGGAGTTTTATGTTAAAAACTAGATTAGAATGGACAACACAATATCCATTTGGAAACTTTTTTTTTTTTTTTGAAAAGACTTTTAGAAACTAATTTATATCTATCGAACATATAGATATAATTCCAAATAATAATAATAATAATAATAATAATAATAATAATGCAGTTTATAATCTTGACTTCGACCGTAGAGTAAATAAGTACGTGAAATTTGCTCGCATACATAATAAAAATAATCGTTACCCGTAACATGCATTTTTTTTTTCTGAAATCATGTAACATGCATACTTGGTTCAAAACTGGTTACTACGAAGCTGTTTGAATTGCTTTTGCTACTATAATTGGGAATTTTAACAGTAATGTCCTTTAAGGCTTTGAAGAAAAGAAAAATAATAGACACAAGATCCGCTTATGGTAATAAATAGATGAATATTGAATTAGTGAAATGAGTAAATGCATGTGCATGTTTATTTTATAAATCTGCTCTAGCAACCCCTTTCATGGTTTTTAGTATTTCATCGTAACCTAAGCATGACCACGGTTCAGGTTTTAACCAGAAACGGTCCGGAACAGGACCGTCGATTCATGAACCAGACCAGAACCGTGAGTTACGGTTCATAAAACCATACTTGGACCGCCTAGTCAAGGTCCGGTTACAGTTCAAGCTTTCCAAAAATCGTAAACTGACGGTTTAAACCGACAGTTTTGAACTGGCGGTTCAAACCGTCAAAAACCTCCAATTAACCGTCGGTTTCCTAAAAAAAGCGTATAGAAATATTAGTTTTTATAAACATAAAAATGTTAGTTACCATCTCATTTTCAAAATAGATGTCGTTTTCTAATTTTTGGTTATATCAAACTCTTGGTCTATTTTGTTTTCCAATAATAATTTTTAAATTTTTTTCCATATTAGCCTTGTGTTTTAAGTATCATTTATAGAGTCTCAACACACAAATACTTAAGTCGTCAATCTAATTAATTAGGGGTTCAATATAATTGTTTTCATTTGTTAATGATTAGCATGTTACTATTGTAGTGCTCAAAGTATGTAATTGTTTTTGTTAATATTATGTTTTGTTGTTCTGTATTTAGAAAAAAATGTAATGATAATTCATCTTTTTGAATAAATTTCATATATTGCCTAAATATTTTCATTTTTGTTATTATTTATAAAATCAAGAAAATACATGTGAAGTTGTCCTAAATTTAGTTAAAGGAATTTGTATTAAATTTTTTTTGCTAGGCTAACAATCATACATCATAAAAGACATTTCATTTTTTTTAAAAAACCAAACACGAAATTTGTTTTTTTTTTTTTGAAACACACAACACAAAAAATTGTATAAAAATTAAGTTAAAATCGTAAACGAACCGGTTTAAAACCGTCAACAAACCGAAGGGTTCAAAACCGGAACCGGACCTTAACCAAAGGTTTCCGAACCCTAACCGTAACCGTAGAGTTAAGGGCCAATTAATTTCATCCGTTTCTTGAACCGTGAACCGGCGTTTCATGAATCGGAACTGGCGGTTCTGAATCATGGTCATGCCTATCGTAACCCTTGTTGAAAATTTCCAAGGAATGTGATACGTAGACGGAGGGTAATATAATTTAAGTTGACCTTACAAAAATTCATGGATCGATCGAATTGTACTTGGAGTGGCTTGGCGTTTATGGGTCTTACCAATTATAACAAAGATTTAAAAATCTTTTCTGTCTATAGGGATAAAAGGGTAATTAGCATTAAAATCCACTGAAAACTACGAGGTGAAAATACTGGGCTTGTGACGTAAAGATTTAGAGTAGTTACGAATTTGTTAGAAAATGTACCCACTTTCCGAAATTATTGTTCAGTTTGGCAATTCATGTATTAAACAAATTGAATTAAAATGAACATCCAAAGTGAACATTAATTTTGAGGCCAAAAATAATAATAGTTCCAAGTTGTCTCACGGGTATGGAGTTGTTACTTTTCTATACAGAGAAAACCACTGTAATTAAGAGGTAATCTAGCTAGAAATCGACTTACAATCACACCAGTGTAAACAACCGTTGATCTAAGAACCAGCCAGTTATTTTCAATACGAACAAACTTAATCAAATCCATCCCATATAACATAATCATGGTGCACACATCACATACCTGGTCATCTGATCTTGAACACGGCGCTAGTGTTTCGACTTTCGATTATATCCAAAATGATAAATCCACTGAACATTGACTTCAACTTCGCCAATGGAATTCACGAATGTAACAACGTCAAAAATCACCGACGAATAGGAATGACCAAACACATTAGTTATTAACAACCTAAAAGGCAGTATGCTAGAAGCTAGAATGAAAATAATAATAATAATAATAATAAGGCGACATTGTGCTCGAATTGAACGGGAAAAAGAAAATCCGAGAAAGGAAAATCAACCAAACCCCAAGAAAACTATGTATGAAGTAAATCATACGAACTTCCGAAGGATTCAAAACATGGATAATCAAAGGTGTGGTGAATCAATATGGAAGAGGGGACATCCCTATCTTCATCGTGATTACACACCATGAATATTACTATCATGTCAAAAAAAAAATTCATATTAAACTTTAATATTTGTACTATTTTCCTCAAAATTCTATGTAAATTATTCTTTGGAGACCGACAGAGTAATTTTGTTTTAGATCCCTTGATTAATCAGGTCCTTTGTGTTCGAAATTCAACTCTAGTTTACACTTTTATTCCTCCTTTTATAGAAATTCAAAATCACGCATAATTTCCTATAGTTGAACGGTAAACAGAATATCTCCATGATCCGTATGTATGTAAGTTGTTTAAAGTCCTCTTTGGAGATTTCATGACTACCGCTTAACTATTAACAACATGAAATTTTTTTTTCCTTAATAATAGACTAAACGATAATTGAAAATGTAAATCAAAGTTAAGGAGCAATGTCCTCATTAGCTCTTTATCCCAATGCACGGTACGCGATAGTACAATCCTGAAGATCCACTCTACCAAAGATATGGCCAGGGCAAATATCTTGAATTTCAGTATATGCAGCAATTAAGCACACTGAGCAATCCGAAGTTGATAAGGAAGCCGCACAACTTCCATAACCCAAAGTTTGCCCCGACGCTGAAGCATGACTATATCCCGGTACGGTGGGCGTTACCGTCATTACGTCGTTAAGAACGTATATGATGTCACTCTGGTGATGATCGTCAGGCGGAAACGCCGTTGGATCGCAGTTTTCTGTAATAATGGTAGTGTTGGCGTCGCCATTCACACCCCGACAGTACCATGTTCCAGTGATAAGCAACAACAATGTTGTTCCCAGGAATTTTGGATTGAAAGAAGCCATGATGGAAGTGCTTTTAATTTTGCTTCTGATCATGCATGAAGCTATTTCGATGCTTAAATATATGGGTGAGATAAATAGGTTCATCCGCTGATTTTGTTGTCTTTCATTACTTGGAGATAGACTAGGTTCTCATAGATGCTGTCTGAAATTCGATGTGTGAACAAACCTAGGATATCTTACCCCCAAGCAAGACATTTGAAATTTTTGAACTTCTTCTAAGGATAAATATTTATTTACTCAATTTTTTGACACCTTTCTGAATAACAATGTGTTCTATTCTCTGGGTTGTCTGCATTCTTTTGTGACTAAAATGACAGTCAATTGGCAGCTTGTAGCTTGTCTGTTTTCGGCAAAGAGATCCCTTATGTTTCCGGAAAAATTAGGTAGACTACCATATTCATTGTATAATTATTTGCGATTCGGTGTCGTTGCTTAAAGTTTTTGTCCATGGTTTATTGCTAATTGTAAGGATACCATTTTAATAAGATAAATCTTATGCAATGCCTCTTGTATAAATTTTACATGTATCAGAAAACTTCTTTTGTATTTTGGTTTTTTTTATTCATAAATTATGGAATGTCCACAAGTTACCGTCCTAATTTACTTTAAAAAGTTACGATTATGCCTACAAACTATAGGTGTTGGCTCAAAAACCCAAAAAAAAAAAAAACCAAAACAAAAAAGAAGACATATTTCTAATTAAAAAATCAACGGTAACATCTGGATATATATATATTGAACATGTATTAACATTTCAAAGTTAAGGAGTATTGTTTACAATTAAGCGTCACTGGGTAATGTGACTGCACCAGTTTTCGTTGGTCGTGATTTGGAGCAAAAAGAAAATAACATATACTGCATATATAACATGTACATCCAAGCCCTCTTTTGCTCAGGTATTAGGCTCTAATTCTAACCAAAAATCCATATTCAACGATTAAACAAAACATCCAAGTTAAAATCCACCTGTGATACATTCAGAGCCAACATTATTCAAAGGGGAGCCAACTTTTCTTCTTTCAAAAGAGGAAGATGAAAAATTGGCATCCCCTTTCCGGCTTGCATTAGTCGGAAAATTTACAAAAGGTAGGCCAAAGGTGGATTATCTGCGGAGAGAATTCCAAATCATTGGATTCAAAGGAAAATTTTCAATTGGATCGATTGGTTATCGACATATCCTCATATATTTTGATCTTGAAGAAGACTTTCATCGCTACTAGTGAAAGGATTGTGAACCTTGGATAAGCATCGGATGTGAGTCTTGAAATGGACTACTGAATTCAACCCAGCACATGAAAGATCGATAGTTCCGGTTTAGATCTCTTTTGAAGGTCTCCCCATTCATCACTTCAACAAGAACTACTTGTTGAAACTTGCTAACATCATAGGGACTCCTCTTCAGATTCATATGCCAACTCTCAACATGTCGCGACCTTCGGTGGCTCATGTATTTGTAGAGATAGATCTCCTAAAAGAGCATTCTATTCACATCAGGCTGGGAGTAGAAGGAAAGCCTAACTTTCAACCGGTTTACTATGAAAATATGCCGCAATATTGTGTTGATTGTAAAAGAATATGCCATGATCATCATTCCTGTCGACACAATATAAAAGCATTAGTATCGCAAAAGGTTGAATAGCCTTCATCAAAGCAGCAGTCAAAACAACGCTTACCGCTGAATCCTTCCACCACCAATATTGAGAATAATCTGATGCAGAAGATTGCTGAAGTAGCTGGAGATCCGACCCCTTCTACTATTGCCCGGACGGTGACACAAGTTGTTGATGTGGATTCACAGCCGTTGCTAGAATATGTCGTCGTAACCGTTTCAAAAACCCTAGTCGCACCCTCTTGATCTAGCACGCCCCTCGGCACAATTTCCACCGTGCCGACAGCATTAACTCCCCGCTCTCTGAAAGCTATTAAGGGCGCTCAACCTCAGGACTGACCACAATGGAAAAGATTTCCATTCCAGTTGACATTCCAGACAGCATTCCGCTTCCTTTAATCTCAAAATAATCAGAACTCGAAGCCGCCGCAGCCCCTAAGAAATTCGAGCCTAATTCTGCAGATCCTCAGTGAGGCTCTCCAACTCTTCCTGTGGAGAATCACCGGCCTTCCTCACAGTCGGAGACTGCTGCTAGCAATGGTGGCACATCAACATCACCGGTGGTAGAGGTGCGAGACGCAATCGACCACCGCACAGTTGTTGATGTCTCTTTTGCAAATGAAAATCGCCAATCAACTTTAACCCTGCCATCCACATCAATCAACTCGCTCGCAGCAAATGTTCTTGGAGAAAATCCAGCGTCACCAGAAGAAAACCAACGGCAGCAAGCAACGGATTTCTGGCGGGGGTTGGAGACCCCGTCGCGTCCTTTGACTGCGCAACAAACTTCCGTGATCTCTGCGCCAGTTGTGCAATCAATCCTCTCTCATCCGGACTTTCAAAAATCAAGAGTGGATAAGTCGCAGTCAAACTCCTTATCAGGCCAATATTTACCCTCAAATAAGGAAGTAATCTCTTCAACAAATAGTTCCAATAATAGCTCCAGTCAAAAGTTAAATCCTGCGGCTCAAGAATTTACCATCTCTCATCAGCCGCAAATTCCTCTTCTCAAGGATTTACTGCCAATTACGGCTCCAAAAATGTACTTGTCCAAGGATGATACGGAGATAAGGAAGACTACCGAGACTTTTATCCCAAATTATTCGATTGAAGAAATAAATTCTGAAGGCAGACTAAATCATGCTTCCAATGGTTCTGATGATAATGATATTGATATGGAGTATGCGATGGAAGAAGAGCCCTTTTACAGTGAAATTTCTACTACAACATTTCACAATCATTTGAAAAAAGTCAGGGCTAAAAAGAAAGTTCAAGTTCGTCGGTATGCTATATTAAACAAGGATTAAATCTTAGTTTAAAAATAAAATTGTTGTTGTTATAGGGTTAGTATATTCACTGCCTTATTTTTTTCTTTTATTATTAATAAAATTATTTTTTGTTTTGAAAAAAAATATGTACAGCTAGAATAAAATAGGTCACGTTGTAGATTTATTTTCAAGCGAATAAAATATTAATGAGACTTAGCTGATCAAAAACTCAAAACCAGAAAACTCGTACAAAAAAAATCAAGAAGAGGTGCTATTTCAGGGAACAAAATTTTTAATCAATAACAAGAGTTACAGAAAAAGAGTTAAATCATCACTTTAAGAAATGCTTGGTTTTGACAGCATTAGTTATGTTTCTCGTGAAATGTAAACTTACTTTCTTGTTCTGTCCCAAAAAAAATTAATAAATAAATCAACATTCAGTTTTAAAATTTTTATTTAAAATAGTTCAAACCGCAAACACAATGTGCGCTGTATCCTTTTCTAACAATGAAAGTAATTAATATCGAAAAACATGTATGTGTAACCCCAACTTTGTGTTTCAGACACCTAAAAAGATGGCCCTTTTAGCGTTGCTGTATGATAAAGTTTGTTTACAAGAATCCAGATCAATTCCATCCAGATGAGCCCAAATGTGTTGAACCCATTTGGAACAGAGCTCGAAGTCTGGTAAAATTCCACCGTACGGTTTATATTTTATACTACTTATAAAAGTCTAGTAATATTAATACTTTTATTGTTCTGAAACAATTGTTTTTTTTTTTTTTGTTTTAGTGAATTTTTTTTTTTCTGAAGAAGGAGATTTTTGTATCAATTGAAATAAAAATAAAACTTCTATTGAACACTCATTAATATTCTTAATTGGAAAGGTAAAGGGCCAGCTTTCTCTTCTATGGGTACTTTCCTTACTATTGTTCCTGAGCATTCTTTCATGCAATTTTACAAACTAGCATAGGGTAAATATTTTACCCCAAAACACAGCTTCATTTCTTGGTTAGCATTGTTTGACAAGTTACAGACTAGGGAGAGAGCTGCAGGATTTGATCAGTCTATCTGTATGTGCTTTTTGTAATATGCATATAGAGTCGAGGAATCATCTGCTCTTTGAATGTCTTTTTTCGGGTCATATTTTCACTAAAGCCATGCATATGGTTCATGTATCTGCTCCTTTTTTGCCGTGGTCTGATCTAGTTGTATGGATGATGTCACAACATGGATCAACCACTGTTATTGATGGCATTGTACGGAACACTTTTGCTGCTACAATTTATTTCATTTGGAAAGCTAGAAATAACCTCATTTTCAGAATAGACACTCCCAAAGACCTCATGATTTGCCAGAAGATTAATTTTGCCTTGACGATAAATTTGGCAAGGATCACGAAGATGAAGAATAACAATCTAAACAAGGTTTAAGCCCAAATGATGAAGATAAATCCGACCTTGGTTGCTTAGAAGAAACTTGCTTTTTATGATCAGTGATTTTTGTGTATAGGTTAAGGTTAGTTTGTACAGTATGACCTTTAACCAGTGAATTTTGTTAGATCCGTATGGAAGATTGTGTACCAAAACTTCTAATATTCGAAATGGAACAAAACAACTTTTGTTTTAAAAAAAACAATTATTAATATTTAACAGAATGTATAATAGGTTGATGGTTTATTATTACTTTATCCTTTTGTTTGTAATACCATATCGATTTCCTTTGATATTAAAAAAAAATGAACAAAAGAAAAGAAACGAGGGAAAGTGGTCAAATTATATATTCATTGGCTGCAATCAAACTAGCTCTGGATGGGGTAGAAAACACTACACAAGTCACAGAATAAAGTAAGGCAATGATGTATTGAAACTTGAGCGAGCTACAGCTGTCTTTCCACTTGAATCCAGAATCCTGCTTCTTGTCCAAAACAAAGAGTATTGGGATGTCTCAAAATTAAGAGTATCGTGACGAAATATGTTACATTTCGCAACGATGATAACCTGAATTTTTCTTACTTCGAAATTAAGTACCATTGATATACATTTGTTCCAAAATATAGTATTAGTCCAAATGTTTTATAGTCCCATAAAATGTGAGTTACTTTAAAGTTACAATTTCTCATAACAGCCCACTATATATCATTATCTCAGCATAGGAGGATCTGTCCTGTATCCATTTTGTACAATCTACAAGGCTGACTTGAGCAAAGGCAAGAGCAGGACAGTCATTCCCAACAATATTAAGCACAACGATCATACAAGATTTGCAACCTTCAAACGACAACGGTGAATTACAACTTCCGAAACCAATTGCCTGATAATCGTGATAGAGTATGTAATTAAGGAAACCAAATTAGGATTTCCGGAATAGTCGGCTAGGGTTTTATGTATCCTTGTATATATATATATCTCAATGTACCATCGGTAATATACAGACAGAAATATAATTCTTTTAAATCGGAATCCGGCGATGAATCGGTGTATACGTATCCCCGAGTAGCGGGGGTCATTTCTGTCACATCGTTAAGAACAAAAGCTATACTCTTTTAATGAGGATCATCACTGGGGTAAATGATAGTGCTAAATGCTCCACAGTTACAACCAAATCCGGAAGGCCACTCACCGCACTAAGCAAGGGTATTAACATCATGATAACAAAAAAGTAGGGTTTGAAAATTTTGAACGAAAGAAGCCATGAAATGGTATCAATTGCTTGCGAAAAATCTCTATGTGCGTTTCTTTTTTCTTTTTATGTTTTCCTATGCTTTGGTAAAGGCCATTCTTTTGCTTAAATAGGTTTCTCAATGTATTGGTTTATCCGCTGATATTCATGCTGTACATGGGATTAAGTATATTTGATTCCAAGGTACTAAAACTTCCTCAAGAAAAAACAAATAAGTGAAGTGAGACATATCAAACAAATTGTCCAACTTCAAAATGTTAAGTTGTCAAATTAACTAACCTACCTAGTAATTTACTAAACACTTTTACATTTTGCATGAAGTTCGATAACATCGAAGTTGGTCTCTTTTTTCTTCACATACGAATCAATATTAACATCGATTTAGTAGAAACGAGAAAAACTATAATTATAAGATCGGGTCTATCCTTACGGATAAAACTGTACAAAGACAGTGATTGAAACTTAGCAAAAAAATTATTTCCATAGAAAAGGGTATTTTCCTACAACAAACACCCCAGAAAACTAGTGCTCTCCTCAATTGACTTTGAGATGTTATAAAACAAACTAGATATTAAACATGCACGATGTGCGGGATTTATTCATATACATAATGAAAAAATATTTTAAATTTTTAAATGTGACAAGCATAAATAAAGTGATTGGTTTGTAAAAATAAATATAATATGATTAAAACCAAATTATGTTGTCGTTAGAGGTAAAATACTGCATCTACTGTAAAATGGAATAATTCTATAGATTTTAAGGAGAAAATGTAATAAAACGATAAATATAAATATTGTACAACTAAAATTAAATAAAACCATTAGTAAATTGTCATGTCAATTGATCAAACATAAATTTCGTTTAATTTCAAAATTGAACGTGTATGTTGAGATTCAAAAAAAATTAATATTTTTTGTTAATCAGAGAATTCATTTTAAAATTCTAAATGGATAGAATCAATAAAACCAAAGTGAACTCAATGAAATCAAGCAATTAAATAATAGGAAAAAATTTAAAAATTAAAAGAATGGTTACTATGGTTGCCGGCCATTTGTGTTGTTGCTGCTCAGTTTAGCTTTGGAGGGGGGGTTTAGGGTTTAGGGTTTAGGGTTTAGGGGAACCCACAGTACAATTGCACTACCACTGATCGATATATATACATGTTGGTTATGTGGATTTTTGGATTTTTTTTTTTTGAATTTTAAAATATTGCATATTAGGGTAAAATTAAGAATTGGTGATAAGTTTTTCCATGATTGATCCGGATTATGCTCAACATTTAATAACTTCAAAAGTTGAAATGTGTTACGTAATATATATTTGGCCTATATTTTTTTGTTTTCTTAGGTGAGGGAATAATATTTCACATTTAATTTCATTTACCATATAGTTATTACCAATTGATATTTACAAAATCAATGAATTCACATTCCAATATAATCTTGACTCTAATGATTTACAACTGTGCAATATTAAGAGAATGAATCAAAAGTGTTATATTTATTCTCTATTTAATTTATAATAAAAGTTTTAGGATAAGGTTTTTATTCCCTTTTTCTCCCATATAACAGAATTGTCCTTGTCCCATTTGATATATTTGATCATCTAACTGAACAATTATCTGTTTCTTTTTTTCTCTCCACACTTTACTCCGAATTTACTATTTATAATTTGAAATTGTGATTGTTTGTTTTAATTATTTTATATTAAATTTGAGGATTCATTTATAATTTAAATAAGTTTTTTTTAGAAGAGGTTTTATAAAATGACGCCTAGAATTTTTTTTTTATATGGCACTCTGATTAAGATTTATGAACTTTTTTTAATTCTTGGATGAGAACTAATTATCCCTGCCTATAGTGGATCGGACCATAAGGAGTATTGTTTTCATTCGATATTGTTTAATAAAATTTGAATCCCATAATTTAATTAAATGGAGTTTAGAAATATGATTTTTTTAATTATGAATAATTAATTAGTCAATTAACTAATTTCATTTAAAATACCTAAACATATGGGAATTAATCTCATAATCAAAGTAAAAACTTATATAAAGTAATAACACATTTAATGTTTATAATGATAATAAAATATTTCAATTTTTAAAATTCATTATGACCCGAGATTCTGCAGGAATGTGATAATGGTTTTTCTTTTTTTTTGAAAGTTTGCCCTTTTTAATTTCTTCTTGTGACATGAGGACTTGTTCGTAATTTCACTTAGTATTTTTTGGTTGGATATTTGAGAAAATAACACATAGGATTTTATCATATGTGGCACTTTTAAAAATATCTTTTGTTTTCTCTCTCCGGTTTCTTTTTTAGTATAATACTATAGATTAGATATCGTAATTAATGACTTCTAATTTTTTTCTCCAACTAACGGTATATAAAGAATTTGGTCGTGGAAAAACTCTGAATTACTCCCTCCGTCCCAAAAAAAAAGTCCACATTCAATTTTGAGTTTTGTACTGTTTTTAGTACAAATTTCAAAACTTAATGTGAACTATTTTTTTGGAACGGAGATCGTATAATTAATAATCAACAAATTGAGCTGCCATGGCCATTTAAATTGGAAAAATAGTACAAAAGTAAAACCCTATCAAAGTAAAATATATATATTCAAATACAAAAATTGGAAAAATAGTACAAATAGTACCTGAAAGAACTCTAATCCCTAACCGTAGTGTTATAGTCGACGCCTCAAAACCGAGCCTCCAACATAATGCTAGGGATAAAATAATAGTTAATGAATTTATTCAATACAAAAACAAATATATACACTAAGTTCAAAGAACCATGGTTTCTGCCGGTCTAGCATCTATTCTACACTTCAAAGGGAAAATTAAATCATATTTGCAGCGGGATTTGACCACGTAGGCTGTAGGTGAGATTCTGTTTACTACCCACCAGTCAAGGATGTAATTTGTTTTCCTTGTTCTTTTGACGTGGTTTTTACTCCAAACAATTTGATTAAAACTTTTATTTAGTAAGGTAGTAAGAAATAGTATAACTGCAAATGAAATGTAAGAAAACAGCGATAAAACCTCAAGCATTATTCTGATCCATGTCCGCTAGGTGCGCCCTGATTCTTCCAATATAAAATAACCAATACCTTCATTTAACTAGCGTTACATTGTAAAGTATCCAATCGAACAATCTTTGAGGATCACATCACCCGACAAATGACCAGGACAATAATTCTGGATAGCACCATACGCGGCGACCATGCATGTCTCGCAATCTGAAACCGACAACGACGGCGTACAAGTTCCTTGACCGGAAGCTTGAGAAAGAGAACCAGGAGGAGGCACATTACGGTATCGGTATCCCGGCGCGGCGGGTGTTCCCGTCACTAGATCACTCAGCACATAACCTATACTGCTTTGGTGAGGATCGTCGGGTGCGTAACCATCAATACTGCAATCTTCAGCGTAAAAATCTGTGTTCGGAGTTCCATTGACAACAAAAATCCGAAGGACAATGATCACCATGAATAGTGTTAATGTTGCAGACAAAAATTTTTGAGCGAAAGAAGGCATGTTTGATCCTTAATTTCTCAAGCATGATAGGAAATGTCTCCTTAAATAGTAGTTCAATGATTCGGTTTATCCGCTGATTTGGTTGTCTTATTTGGAAATATACACGTGTTTAAATTCTTAGGAAAAGTAATCTTTACAAGCTAGCTTGTTTGGTTACAAAATTTGATGTGTAATGAGTTACATGCATATTCAACGTTTTGAAGTTGATACTATCGGAGCGAAATGGAAATGGACGATAAAATTGTCGAGATTTAACATTTAGTTCAAATGATTCTTCGAACATTACAACTTAGTTATAAAGGATTTTAAACCGTTAGGAATTTTATTTATGAACGACAGACAGTAGTTTAGAGCATTAGATGTTTCGTGTATGAACGACAAACAGTTCATAATTTCCACAATGTGACTGATCAAATTAACCAGGACAAAATGGACAAACAAATAATTTCAAGAATAATATGTTAGCAAATTAGACTTTTGGAAAGGAGACCAGAACAATGAAGATCATAATCCGGTAGAGTCTCATTTCTGCATTGTTTGGAATTATTACTCCCTACGTCTTGTGATTATAACTTTTTAAATAATAGTAGTATTTTTTGTATATTTTATACACGGCAACGTATACTTTTTTTGTGACAAAGAACTACCATAATTATAAAGAAGTGTTTTAAAATAAATTGATAATGCCGTAAGAGATCAACAATGATGATGTTTCTCTCGGAACATTAATTATAAAAAAGTTACTCCGTTCTAAAATAAGTATCATAGCAAAATAGAGAAATTTGAAAATAAATATCGTTCTCACATTTCAATGTTTTTTTGTCCAAACTTTTCAAGATTACTCTCAAAAGAAGTAATGCTATTGGTAGACCTTTTTTAAAAGTAGTTAGTTGAGGATATTCATGTAATTTTTATTACCATATTTAAGAGTTTCTTAAACTATGTGCAAAGTGTAGGATGATACTTATTTTGGAATGGAGAGAGTTATTTTTTTAAAAAAAAATTAATCAATTGCAGCAAAGGTCTCATCGCATTAAACCTCAATGTCTTAAACTTTAATTGTCATTCGTCAGTTTAAATGCACACATTGTCTTGAATCAGTCACTTTTTTTTAATTACCAATTTAATTTTTCATTACATCATTATTTTTTAAAGAAATTGTAAAAAATATGTTTTGTTATTAGTGTTATTTTATCGCGATTAATTGCAAGTTGAGCAACTTTTTATTAGTTTTCACATCTTAGCTGTTGAAGGTTTTCCTAGTAAATGTGACCTTAAACTTGCTCAACACCATCTTTTAGCCTTCCTCATTGACACGAATAATTCGTCTCATAGCTCTTGATGAACTTTTCTTGTTTAATGTTTTGGTAAAAAATAATAAATCAAAATCACAAAAATAAAAATAATATTGACAGGGTGTACAGTTTGTGTTCCTGCTTGGGGCCGAACCAAGATGATTCCTTGTCCAAAACCAACCCTAAATACTTCATCGCACTACATTATGGGATATTTCCGTCTCCCTTCTCCTATCCACCCTAAGCAGCCGGGCTTCCTCTTTGATCTCTATTTAGGTCTTTCGAAACCCATTTCAGATTTTGGATAATTATCTAAACCCCGAAAATAGATTCACAAGTTTTCCATAGCTGACCCATATACGGTGAAAATACAAGTATAGGTAGCTGTCATACTCAGCCATCGATGCCCGCAAAAGACGAGGCGATGACGCCTGTGTTGTCCAAAAACTGGAAGTACCTTTTCCTTAATGTTTCAGATGTCGAGATCATTGAGTCTGAACCGAGTCAGGCGTTTATAAATTTTGTGAATAGGAAGTTCAGTGAAGCATCCTCCATAGATGAGTTCCGTAACTTCAAAACTCTCAAGATTTTTTATGAAACATCGGTTTCTATTCTCTAGATTTACCCACTGGAATGTTTTTCTCCAAGACTTTAGAAGTCTTAGAGCTACATGGATCAATTCTGATCGTGATCCCTGAAGTTGTCTCCCTTCCAAATCTCAAGGTACTTCACTTTTCAGAATTGACCATCCAGTTTAACTGCGAATATGAGTTTGCTCAAGGATTTCCTCTGCTTGAAGATTTAATGTTGGATCAGATTAAAATCTGTTACAAAGAAGCACCTTTCCTCAAAATATCCTTACCCAGTCTCACAAGGTTCAAGATAACCGCGTACCAATCATGCCAAATACATACATGCTCCACATTATATTGACTTCAGTTTTCAATCATATCATGATCGCTCCCCAGAGATAAATTTATTAAACCGTGGGTCGTTGGTGTCAGCTAAATTCTCTGTTCCCAAGGATAAGTATAACTCGGAAGAGAGTGAATGGCTGGTAGAGCATTTATCCAGGATAGACAGCATCCAAGAGCTCGTTTTCCGCTTCACTTTTTTTTATGTATGTCCCAGTTGAATTTTTTGAAATGATCAGATCGAATGCCTTTCATTGAGTGTATCACACATATATATAGTACATTACATCAGAAGATAAGTACAACATGATAAAGTCCAGAATCTATACTACTCAATCTATAACATGATAAGAACAACTCAATGATAACTATGACACGCCCCCTCAAGCTGAAGACGGGATCGGAAGTAGTTGAAACTTGTCAAGAAACCGAAGAAACAGAATTTTGACTAAAGGCTTCGTGAGCACATCCGCTAACTGATATTTCGTACAGCCACAAAACCTTGAAGAATATGTTGTCTAATAAAATGAAAGTCTACCTCAACGTGGCGTATGCGAGCTCGAAAGGCAGGAGTAGAAGCCAAGAAGACCGCACTATTGTTATCACACCAGACGGTAGGAGCAGAACGTAAAGGAGCTCCCAATTCAGCAAAAAGATGACAAAGCCAGTGTAGTTCAACACACACATTCGTAACAGAGCGGAATTCAGCTTCAGTAGAGGACCTAGCCACGGTTGATTGCTTCCTAGACGTCCAAGCCATCAAATTAGGACCAAAGTAAATCAAAAAACCAGTTGTAGACTTGTGATCATCCGGGCAGCCGGCCCAATCGGCATCCGTAAAGGCTGAAAAAACACGAGATGGCGAAGAACGCAGCCAAAGTCTGCGATTAGCAGTTCCACGGAGGTATCGCAATACCCGTTTGATAGCTTGGAAGTGGATAGAGACATAGCGAAACAAATGTCGGGTCTGGCCTATGTCAAGAATATAGCATCGCTGAGAAAGGACTAGCCTTGCGGACGACGAAGGACCTAAATTCCCAGAGAAAAATGTAAGTCACCAAGATCCCGAATAGAAAATTCAGTTCCAATTCAGTGTATCACTTTCCGAACAAATAAAGGAGTATTTCCGGTGATAATAACATCATCAACGTATATGAGAATGAAGCATACACAATTAGCCGAGGAAATAATGAACAACAACGGATAGCATCTCGATTGGCGAAAGTGAAGCGACAACAGAAAATCACTAAGGCGAGAGAACCACACCCTCGGAGTTTGCTTCAGTCCGTACAAAGATTTATGAAGTTTACATACATGGTGCGGACGAAGTGGATCAATGAAGCCCTACGGTTGAACCATATATATAAACTCCTTGAGCGTCCAATTTAGCAATGCATTACTCAAATCAATTTGCTTGATAGGCCAGGAATGACTTACAGCCACGGAAAGAACGGTTCGTTTGGTGACCGGTTTGATGACGGACTGAATGTATGGGTGTAATCAACATCAAAGGATTGAGTGAATCTTTTGGCAACTAACAAAGCTTTACACCGATCCAGGCTGCCACCAGGGTGAGTTTTAACTTTGTAGAGCCATCTATTACCAACAGCATTGACGGAAGGAGGTGGTGGGAGTAATGTTCAAGTTTTGTTGATCATGAGAGCATCAAACTCACGTTTCATCGCTTGCTGCCATTGCGGCTGGGATTTACCCTGCGAAAAAGAGAGAGGAGCCACTGGAAGACAAGGTGAGAGAGAAATAGTATGAGAAAATTTTGATTCATGAAGTGTGGAAGGACGCAAGGTCATGGGATGCGTGCGACCGAGGGGAATCGGAGTAGCATTAGAAGGCGGAGAGTGATCTAAATCAACCACAAGATGAAGCCCAGACGGAGAAGGGGACTTTGGAGAAGGAGATGCTGAAGGCGAAGGAGTAGCGGAGGATAAGTCGGAGGCGGCAGAGTTATATGAAACAGAAGCGGAAGTAGGGTTAGGGTTTGGCGAAGTGGGGCTGGCGGAGGAACGGCGAGAAACTGAAGGAACAAACAATGGTGTTGCTGGAGGTTCCTGGTTTGTGGAAGGAAGGAGAACATGAGGGTGGTGTAGCCGGATGAAGGGAAACCTGAATTCGTGAAGGAAGGGAAGGAGTTTGCGGCAGAGGAGTAGAAATGTCGACATGAGTGGTAGAGGTAGCAAAAGGAAAAATGGGTTCATCAAATTGGACATGGCGGGCTATATAAATCCGATTGGTGGGAAGGTGGAGGCAGTGATATCCAAGATGAGGAGGGGAATAGCCTAAAAAAACAAATTATTGAGACCTAAAATAGAATTTGTGTTTATTATAGGGTCCTAAATTTAGATAGACAGCACACCCAAATACTCGTAAAAACAAAAAATCAGGTTGTTGCTGAAATAAGAGTGTACGGGATTTGATTGTTGTGCAAAGAAGATGAAATCCAGTTTATGAGAAAAACGACCGTTTCAAATGCAAATTCTCAATATTTAAAGGGAGCACTCCTGTGGCCCAAAAGGGCAAGACCGATATCGACATTTGTCAAATTTTTCTTTCCGCCGTACCATTCTGCTCATGCATATGAGGACAAGCAATACGGTGGTCTATGTCATGAGTTTCTTAAAAAAGTATTAAGGGATCGAAACTCCCAATAAGAAATGACTGATTTTATAGTTGTTTGAAACTGATTTTTTACAAGCTTTGTGGATTGCTGAAAAAAAGAAATAACATCACTTTTTTGTTTGATAGGGAAGAATCATGTAAATAAGGAAAAATCAGT